GCCTGGGTCCTTGGTTTGCTTCTCTGTTGCTATGATAAACACCATGATGAAAAAGCAAAGTGGGGAAAAGTGGGTTTATTCCACGTTACAAATTATGGCCAACCAGCCATGAAAGCCATGTCGGGAACTCAAGACAGGAACCTGGAACACCGCTTGGCTGGCTTGCTTTGTATGGCTTGTTCAGCATCCTTTCCTAAGCAGCATGGGACCATCTGTTCAGGGATGACACTGCCCAGGGTTCGGAACCCTCCCACATCAATTACTAATCAAGAAAATGCCCCACAGACACGCTCACCAGCCAATCTGATGGGAGCGTTTTCTCAACTGAGGCCCCATCCTGCCAGGTGCTAGTCTAGCAGACAAAAACTAACAGGCATACTTGGCCAATTTGTAGCCTTTGGTTGCAAAGGCTACACGCAACCATACCATCAACACACCTGCTATAATAAAGCAGCAATGTAAGTATGTTATTCTCTGTGAGCTGCTCAAGCAAAGTAACTGAGCCCGGTGAGACAGGGGTTGCACCAACTGTGTGAACTCCAGTTTGTACGCTGTCCTTAAGCACTGAGAAACCTGGGTTTTTGACTGGCATCTAGAAGTCCCAGGGCTGATCACTGAACCGTTGGGGTCTGTCACTATGCTAGTGTCAGAGATTATCTGGAATGGAGGACATCCGGATGGTGTCTGCTGTTGTTTTGGCATCACAAGTCGTCCGTGTCGATTACGGTGTGAGAGTAGGTGGAAAACGAAGTGTTGTTTGTTGAGGCAAGTTCTGACTGTATAGACCAGAATGGCCTTCAGGGTTGTGCCAGTAAGCAGTTGGCGACTTTCTGTTTCAAATCTGCACCTCTAAAAACCAGACCTGCGCGTTAGTGGTGATCGCTTTGCTGTGGCTGTGGTCCTAAGATTGGCCACTAGAGGGCGATAAAGGTATGTTGCAGGAATAAAAGCTGTTGCATCCTGGCCTTTCTAGTGTGCGGCTCTTTCTCCTACGGTGAGTGTGAGATCAGCACTGGCACTCTGCCCCAGCCATGCGTGCCCAGGAAACAGTCTCCTCATGACCTTGCCACCTTGGCGTGGCTTTGCTGACTTCCCTGCCATTCTTTCCCTGATGGGTTCCCCAGGCCTGACATCTGAAGCAGCATTCTCCACCCCACCAACCCACCAGGCCCCCACCCTCACCCCGCCCCTGTCCCCGATCCATCTCAATATTGCTAGACACATACATACTCGGTGAGATGCAATCAAATCAGTGCTCATCGGGAAAGGTTTATAAGAAACAGTGCAGGAGGCCCAGGGTTCAGTCCACTTACACTACAAAAGAAAAATACTGGGGGAAAAAGTAAACTAAGTTACAAGTTTGAGAAACACAGCCAAGAGCATCAGAACAAACTGAGAAGAACAGAGAGCCATAAAGACAAAGAGCACAAAACATTAAAGTAGACCACCAGAGAAAAGGGTTGGGTTGGTGCCAGGTGCCTGTAATCCCAGTTGGAAGGCAGAGATAGACAGATCAAGAGTTCAAGGCTCACCTGGCTACACTGGGAGTTAGAACCCAGTTGAGATTACTTGAGACACTGTTTAAACACCCTCGTGCCCCGCCCTCCCCATCCCCTGTCAAAAAACAAAACCAAAAACCTGGTAACTCCCAAACCAATTAACAAAACAAAACAAAAAACATGGGCAATAGGATAAATTAAAGAATATGCAAAATGAAACAAAGTAGAAAACAGAGGAGTTTGTTTTAATTTTCTTTTGTTTATTGAAAGGGTACCACTATGTAGACCAGGATTGCCTTTGAATTTATAGCCTTCTGGCTTTACAGGTGTACATTATCTTGTTTACTGCAGTAGAGATTTCTGAATGAGGGTAATTGCCCATACAAAAACGATCCAGGAGCTGGGCAGGTAGTTCATGCCTGTAATCCCAACATTCAGGAGGCAGAGGCAGGTGGATCTCTGTGAGTTCAAGGCCAGCCTGGTCTACAAAGTGAGCCCAGGACAGCCGAGGCTACACAGAGAAACAAGCATACAAACAAAAAAGGACTCAGGGAGGCCCATGCAAAATTCAGTTTATTCACATAAGACACATGGAGGCCTAGAGCAGGCAGTTTCTTGTGGAGGATTTTTGTTTTGTTTTGTTTTTACTTTGGATGTTGATTTTTCATTAAGTATGAGTGAAGGAGACACTCAAAAGTGATTTTTGTTTCTTTGTTTCGGTTTTTTTTTTTTTTTTTTTTTTTTGTTGTTGTTTGTTTTTTGAGACAGGGTGTCTCTAGGTAGCCTTGGCTGTCCCAGAACTCACCTTGAAGAGCAGGCTGGCCTTGAATTCAGAAATCCACCTGCTACTGCCTTCAGAATGCTAGAATCAAAGTATGTACCACCACTGCCTGGCTAAAAGTGATTTTTTTTTTTAAGGCTATAATTCCTGAAGTAAATTTCCTGAATGTTGGGTTCATTGAGAAAGCTGGTGTAGAGAGAATGGATGAATAGACACCTGTTTTAGTTCTGATACCATTAACTGGGAAATATTGTCTTCCGACTTCAGACAGGCAGGCAGCCTATTTCATCTCCAAATCAAGCAGACTTTTCAGGCACTAGCCTAGACCCATGGATATGTATTCTCATGTCCGACCAAATGGCTTAGGTATCATAGCAGATCAGAATATAGGGCATTCAGATAAATGTGAAAAAACATTTCAAATAGTGTTAAGTATTTCCCCCAAATTGCATGAGACATACTTCCTGTAGACATACGCATTGATTTTCTTTTAAGGTTGATTTTATTTTTATTTTACGTGTGTGTGTGTGGGTGTGTGTGTGTGTGTGTGTGTGTGTGTGTGTGATTTGTCTGCATGCATGTTTGTGTACCATGTGCAAACAGTCCCCTCAGAGGCCAGAAGAGGGTGTTGGATCCCCTGAAACTGGAGTTACAGATAACTGTGGACCACCATGTTAGTACTAGGACTCAACCCTGGTCCTCTGAAGAGCAGCCAGTTCTCATAACTGCACAGTCATCTCTCCAGCCTTTCTCTGTTTTTCCGAAATGCAGATTTAACTTGGTATTCCGTATCTGCCAACTCCTCTGTCACTGGTCTCACTTTACTGCCTCAGAACTTCCCCAGTTTGGATTTCTTCACTGCCTTTAAGAGAAAGTTCTTTCCTTTTATATTAATTAATTAATCTTGAAACAGGGTCTCACCATGGAGCCCTCCCTAGCTTTGAATTCGCTATGTAGTGCAGCTGGCTTTAAACTCAGAGACCTGTCTCCTTCTGCTCCCTCAGCGCTGGGATTAAAGGTGTACACCACCAACCCCAGTTAATAACCTTTATCTCAATATGATCTTCAAGGCCCTGCCAAAGTCTCTGGCTTGCTGCACTTCTGACTGGCTTGCCTTCAAGCTTCAACATGGCCTGTCCTGCCTGGAAAGTACCTCCCTTCCCACCTTCTCCAATCCTTAAGCCTTTTCTCCCATATCCGGTGCTGGTTGGTTTTCTATTACTGTAACAAATGCCAGAGGTTGTCAATTTAAAAACCATGAAGGTTTATTTCAACCCGCAGTTCTGGAGCTTTCAGCCCTTCACCTATTGCCCCCTTATTTGGGGGTCGGACACGGCCTGATGCTAACTTACAAATAAGCCATGCCTTTGCTGGTTCCCCTGCTGTATGTTCCCTATTTGTATCATAACATTTAGTTCCTATCTAGTGGTTTCCGTATTTGCCCTCCCAGGCAACAGCGCCCAACTTTAGTTGTTGTCCATATACCTGATAGATACCTTCCACTCTGCCAGGCATCAAGTACTGTCTCTCATGTAGGAACCAATGAAGGTGAGTTTCAGAATATTAGTCCCAAAGGTCTCTCAAACAACATGACAAGTGTATAAGGAGGTCAGGGCGGGCCGGTACAGCATCTTCTTTGACACGTATAAATCATGGTTTCTTAGTTAAGTACAGAACAGATATTTTGTTGGTAACATTTGTTTTTGTCCTTTACTTTTGGTGCGGGGGTGAGCGCAGGTCCCAAATTAGGCAAACTGAGTCACATCCCCGCCTGGATGAAGCTGGGTGTACAAGACTGTTCACGGCGTTGTCAGCGGCAGTTCCCAGAGAGAAAAGCAGCACCGGCCTTGGAGATCCCACCAAGCCAAAGTTACGGAGCTTCCTGATTGTGCAGAGCCGCCGTTGCTGCACACCCGAGCCAAACTATCTTGGATTCTTTTGAAAGCCATTCATGTGTCTATATCTGGCCTAATAACCTTGTGATGATGCACCTTTTCCGCTGTATTTCAGGGTGCGAGAAATGGCTCAGCAGATTAAGGTGCTTCCAAGCCTGACTACTTGACTTCAGTTCCCGGAACCCACAGCATGGAGGGACAGAAGCGATTGGCCGTCATCCCATGCACACACAGCAGTGCCCATGCACACACAAACACATACGCAAATAACTAAAGATAGAGGGTTTCACCTACCAAAAGCTAAGGCATCAGATAGTATGTAAACCCGTTAGTTTTCTCTGCTTTGCAGCAATCAGTCTACCTGTGACCTCAAGAATGTATTTGGTAAATGCAGAGGTTGGTGACTTTCATTTTCTTTTTCCTAAAACTAATTAAGCCTCGTGTAAAACCGTCCAGCGTAGATGATGACATTTCGGGCAAGCTGGATGTGTGCTCCCTAGCCACGGTCACTTCCATTTCGCTCAAGAATAAACTTGAGACAAGCGCCGTGTTTTTGACTCAGCAGCACTGCCCGTCGGGGTACGGCGGCGGACAGCCCGGTCGGTCACCTGTTGAGCGGGGTGGGTCCCTGGGTCGCGGGCCGGGTCGGACCGGGAGGGCAGAGCCGCAGCGCACGCGCAGAGGGGCGGCTGCGCGCCTGCTCTGGCCCCTCCGCCCTCCAGGTGGCGCTGGCGAGCCGCCGGCCCCTCTCCGCGGCCGACCGGGGCGGCGCCGGCCGCCTTGCGGGGCCTCGGGTCCGCCTCCGCCGCGCCGAGGGCGTGGGCTCCGGGCTCCCGGAAGCGGCGGCCGCGGCGTGGAGCCCAGCGGGCTGTCGGTCGCCGGAGCGACCATGCGCGGCGGCCGGGGGCTGTGAGCGGAGCGCGGCGGCGGCGCGGCCGGAGCCCCTGAATGGCGGCGGCTCGCTGAGGCGGTGGCGCGGCGCGGGCTCCTCCGAGCGTGGGGTGGCGGGGCCGGGGTGATGCTGCTGAAGCTCCTGCAGAGACAGACCTATACCTGCCTCTCCCACAGGTATGGGCTCTACGTCTGCTTCGTGGGCGTCGTCGTCACCATCGTCTCGGCTTTCCAGTTCGGAGAGGTGAGTAGCGGAGCCCGAGCCCCGGAGCCGCGAGCGGAGCCCTCCCTGGACCAGCCCCGCGGCACCGGCGCCCCTCGTCTCCCTCCCGCCTCCCCATCCTCCCTACAGCCTGGGGACCAGCCCTGGGCCCACCGGCCCGGCGCGGACCGCGCGCATCCTCTACCCGGCTCGGCTGCAGCAGCTGCGCGTCCCGGCCTCCCATGCTTCGGCAGGCTGGTGGTCCCCTTCCTTCCCCGGACTGTCCCCGAGAGTCCTGCAGTCATTTGGCTTTTGCTCTCAGGCCTTGCGCCCGTGAAACTCCCGGCTAGGTTAGAGAGGCAGTTGGGATCTTTCTGTAGGGAGCCTTCGTTCCTTGGCCCTCCTTCTGATCCAGTCCTCCGGTGCCACCCTAGTACTCTTCCACCTTTAGCAAAACAGCTTGTCTTCCTAATCCCGTTTCTTCTGGGTCTCAGACTTGGTCTAAGAGGCACCTGGGGTTCTGCATGCGAATTTTGCGCGGTTTTGCACGTGAATTTTGCAGAGTGAAAGGGGATTTTTTAAAAACTTTTTTTTTTCCTTTTTCACAATTGCTCTGTTGTTTTGTTCAGCCGTATGTCAGCGGGTGGAGGCATTACTGCACACGCTGATGGGAAAGCACCATGTGCAGGGCCCTTGTCAGGTGACTAGGACTGCCTGCCAGTCTTGGGATCTTGGACTCCTGCCCCAGACCTCTTGGGAGCCAGCATGACCCTTGCGTCATGGGACATGCTAATAGTTTTTAGATCAAGTCGCTGGTCCTTCTTGGCTTGACACCTGCGCTTAATTCATGAGCAGCAAAGCAGTTTGGTTAGATTGCAAACTCTTCAAAGGGCACAGGCAACCGGTTTAGGGAGGAGGGAAGCACCAGGTTAAATGAATTTTGTGCTCCTTTGGAGACATACCTTGAATGGTTTTGGACTGAACTTATTCTCTGGGTTAAATCTCACAGTTATTTCATTCTTAGTAGTCTGATACGGAGTTCTCTATGCTAAGTATGCAAAGCGCTATGCGTAGGTCAGTCATGGCACCACGGCTTCCGGAAACAGAAAGAAAACTTGTGCTTCCAAGGGTTGGACATTTGTCTCCCTGTTTTATTTCTTTGCTTTTGTTTTAGCAAGGGGTGTAAAGGGTTTTATGATTAATAGAATGCATTTATGAAACAGTGCAGTACAGGCCTGTGGTCTTCTGTGGAGGAGGTGCTATCTACCATTTTAAATGCCATTCCTTTAGCCCAAGCCACTGTGTGCAAATGAGTGTTTGTTTAGTGCCTGGCTGATATGGTATGTTTCTAAGTGTGTTTTTTTTTTTGTGATTCTAGGAACTAGGGGGAAAAATACTCTTATAGGAGAGAATGAGAACATCGCAGACTTTTAAGTGTGGAATATTTTCTTAATATTACCCTGCCTCCTAGTCTCTCTTTGTTTCGTGTACTGTGACTTGATGTGTTAATGCATAGTTAGTGTCGTACTGCTTTTGGATGACTTCTTTTTTAAGACAGAATCTCACAAAATTGCCAGGCTAGCCTAAGGCTCAAAGTCCCCTTTTCTCAGCCCTTCCAAGTACTAGGGCTTTTGGGTTATGTTTTTAACCTGGTTCATTTTAAGTGAGCTGGTTTTTAACCATACTGTAAAATACATTTGTTATGGCCTTGAACTTCCCACACATTTTTATTTTATTTTGAGATGGGGGGGGGGTCCTCACCATGTAGACCAGGCTGGCCCGGAGATCCCTCTGTAGATCAGATTGGCCTTGCACCTGCCTCTGCCTCCAGAATGCTGGGATTCAAGGTGTTTGCCACAGTGCCTGGCTTGTAAGCACAGATCTTAAAGTTTAGATCAAATAAGAGAAATGGAGAGTAAAAAAAATGTCACAAGGTAGCTGGCCTGTGTTGGGCTGGAGGGCTGGGTAGACCCACATTGGATTTGACCAGTGGTCCCAGTTAATACTAACCATGGTAATAACAAACATAATCCTTAGTAGCCCTTCTCTTAATTGCCTTCCATGCTTTTATTCTTCACAGATCATGTGATATGACGCTATTGTTTCACCCACCACACAGGTTGTGCAACTGAGGAATGTGCATAAGTTAACACAGCTAATTCATGCAGACATGTACTTCAAACTTAGACAACTGGATTTGATGCCAGCATCAAAGTAACACATTTTTTTGGAAGGTCTTCATTACGTTTATGTTGTGTGCATGCGTGTGGGTACACGTTCGAAACACTGTGCATGTGTTCTCTCTCCACTCTGTGGTTCCTGGGGAACAAACTCAGGCACTCGGGTGTTCCAGCAGCCCAACCAGGAAGCCAGCTCATTACCACCACGCTTCCGTCCACTGCTGGGAACGGAACCTGTGACCTGGTGTCCTGGGCAAGCGCTTTCCCATGGCGCCTCACCCGATGTTTCTCATGCAGCCCGGCCCGGGCAAAAATATCTTCTTACCTGGGTTGTTGGTGGAAGTTAAGTATGTGCAGTGCTTCATCCACGCCATTGTTAAGCCACAATAGTAGGTGCTCTAGTGTAATCAACACCAATTGTTCTGTCTCGGTCTTCACTTGATGATGTAAGAAGCAGCAACTTGTTAACTAGCTGTAGTGCAGTTAACAGTGATGAACACAGACATTGAGACATCACTGTTGGTGTGAGTTTGTTATTTCTCCCTCTTAGTGTAAGAGGGAAAGGGGGTATTTTTTTCAAAGATTTTGTGTGTGTGTCTGAAGATCGCTTGGTGCTGGAGTTACTGAGCTGGATCATGAGCAGCTCAGTACGGGTGCTGGGATCTAAAGTCCGGTCTACTGGAAAAGTAATAAACTATCTCTCCAACCTCTGCCCTCTCTAACTCTCCCTTCCCGCCACCACTCCGTGTGTGTGTGTGTGTGTGTGTGTGTGTGTGTGTGTGTGTGTGTGTGT